TACACTCTTAAAAATAAAGGTGCTTCACGATGCCATAGAAGAACCTTTTTGTCTAAATGGTTCCATAAAGAACCTTCAACATCAGAAGAACCTTTCTGTTTCACAAAAGGTTCTTTGTGGCGAATAAAGGTTCTTGAGATTATAAAAAGGTAATAAAGAGATGGTTCTTTAAAGAACCTTTGACTGAATGGTTCTTTGTGGAACTAAAAATGGTTCTTCTATGGCATCGCTTGAAGAACCTTTTGAAGCACCTTTATTTTTAAGAGTGTAGGCAGAACAAACTTTCTGACACTGCAGAGAAAACACATTAACAAGAAGCTGCTGATGGAACATCCGACTAAAATAAGCTGCACAAAGCCAAAAGAATCCAAGTGTTTATCTGTAGCATTTAGGGCAGTGAGTATTATGCAGTATCTGGAATGGAATGTAAAGCACATTATACTCACACATGATATCACCATCTACAAAAATCACAAAAACACGTGCCGTGCAGTTTGGAGCATGAGTTGCTGTGGTTTCTGTGCATTGTATTTGTCTCGCATATAGTGCTAAAAATAACCACCAGTCAACTGGGGAAGAGCGAGAGAGAGAGAGAGAGAGAGAGAGAGAGAGAGAGAGAGAGAGGATAGAGAGATAGAGAGAGAGAGAGAGAGAGATACATTAGCTGTCTGTGGTTAATATGAGCTTGTTAACACTCACTAGTTACAGTGATAAATACTGTAGAAATGGGGTTATGTATGGGTGTGCATGAAAGTAGAGGAATGAGGGATAGTAAATAGAAAAAGATCTAAATATTAGTTGTTACAAACTTTTTTTTACATTTTTAACCAAATGTATAGGAATGAGAGATAGCAAATATCACAAAATGCAAATAATAGTTAATATTATTATATAAAAATATATATATTTTTTACATTTAAAATGTTAAATGAATGTAGAGATGTAGAGGAACGAGAGATAGTAAATAGCAAAAGGTGTAAATATTAGTTATAAAATGATACAAACATCAAACAAACAAATAAATAATTTACATTTAAACAAATATTGAGCAATGAGGGATAGCAAATAGAAAAACGTACATGTGAACAAAATAAAACAATAAAAGCCATTTAAAATGTGAACTCAAAACAAAATAGAGCAATGATTTAGCAAACTCATATTCATGTCTCCATTTTGGTATGTAGTGCCATTCAAGTCCCACAATTTTCTCAGGTGAATTCCCTGTTTGATTTGGAAATGCACTGCATTATGGAAGCAAAATGTGTTGTGAATACTGTTTCATGTTTATTTGAAATACAGTCCCTTGTTAAATGTAGAATCATTTTATGGAAGCCACTGTGCTATTTCAGTCTGATCACAATCTGATGATCAATGAACACTGATAATAATTAATCAAATCTGTATCTCAGAAAGCTTAATGGTAATTGTCTTCCTTCTTTTATCTAGCATTCTCCCCTGGGCTTTGTACTCTAAATGGGACATGTCTCAAAACTGCTTCGTGGGTCATAAATAGATCAGCTATTCCCAGACTGCCAACTGCCAAAGTGTCTGACTGTAACACAAATCAAAAGCAATTATCTGGATGAGAAAGCAGCTGAGGTCACATAATAATGAATGAAGAGTTCGTTAGAAATGAGAAGGATTCAGTAGGCCTTGAAAAGCTTGAAGTGAATGAGCTTATATGGGCTTGAGTTGAGGGTGTTTATATTCCATTAAAAGTCTATTGAGCTTTCCATCAGCCTCAGTAACATCAGCTGTTGATGCTTTTAGCTACTGTTCTGTGCTAAAACAGCCACCAACATATAATTGTACTATAAGAGTAATATATGTTTAAAAGTCTTGATTTAATAGATTACTAGTAGTTATTTTTATCTTCATTTATATGAAAAAAATGGTTCTGTCTCTAAAATATCTGTAAAACGCTATAGATAATGAACACAGAATTATTCTACATTAATGTGACAAGCTGTTACATTGATTATTATGCTTGTAGTTAAAGCAACAACGTTCTTTATTTATTATTCTTATCATCACTATTAGTATTTCACCTTTGAAATATCAGTTTCAAAATCATTCAGATGGTACACCGACTTTTTTTCCCACTCTCTCTCTAAATTCATAAGTTTAATGAGCGGGTATGAAATTCCGCGATTTGCCTTATGGCAGTAACGAACAATGCATGCACTATCCGCTGTAAATACGACAGTGAATTCCACTCACTCAAAAATATACAAAACTACATACAGTTGCCTTTTAGGTTTGAAAACACTCCTTAATGCATTGCCTCTAGTTATTTTTGAGGATTAAGTCAATATTAAGTCCATTTAGCACTACTGTGTAGGCCTATGCATTGATTGGAAATGAGATATTCCTGAAGGAACTTCTAAGGGTCAAAATGCTCTGACCTTCAGTCTCTGGATGGTTTCCAGACACACATGAAAGCACTTATCACTTAGTAACACTGACACACACACACTTCTGAGTGTCAGCGCTAGTGAGCAGTTCTGACCTGCCCTCATTTGAAACATCATAACATGAGAACCAGGTACTCAGAGTAAAAGATCAATATTTATACCATATTTGTTAAGATCACAGCACGATTAAAGCAATTTGTCAACAGATTAATGTATTATATGTGGTTTATAATGACTAACCACTTAGATTTCAGCTATTCGTGTTCACACAGGAAGCAGAAGTCTTGATGTTTGCCACCTAGAGAAGACACTCTTGAGGTCTCTTCTCTGACAGGGATTAGAGATATGAGGATAAATATATACGGTCTCTCTGCTGCTGTCCTGCAGAGGCTGGTTTTAGACCTGGCAGATGGGCAGATGCACATATCCTGGCTGGGGTGAATAAAAGTCTTTATAAGGTAAATCTACTTTACTATGTGTATGGAAGGATGTGATGGAGACATTTGTTTTCCAGAAATATCAAAGAAATTCATTCAAGCATTACTTAATTTATAATAACTGAATGGTATTTTGAATCTATTAAAAGTTGTAATGAAGACCCTAAAGACATATCTCACTAGGGTAAGTAAACAATTACAGAATGTTAATTTTGCATAAACCGTTCCTTTAATACAAAGATGCAATCACTCTGTTTTACAATGCAACTTTCTGAACGGTTCATTAAAGCAAAGCTGAACGTCCAACAAATTGTGAACCATTTTGAGTTATAGCAACATTTTATTTACAATAGAAATGCACAGGTAAAAGAACAGATGGTAGAAACAATTTACAGTCGCTTCAAATAGGCCAGCGCATCCTGTGCAAGACTTACAAAATTATCTATAGTGTATAACAGCCACACATACGTACAAAACAGTGAGCACAATAGTGAACTACAGCAAAAATAAGACCAGTATATTTGCATGAAGAGATCTGAACGAACACTGACAACTGCAGTCAGTTCACTGTAGATTACAAGCTAAAAAAAAAAGAAGTTAATTTTAAATTTGGGAGGGGTGGATCTAAAAAATACACTTGCTGTTTGATAAAAAACGTTATCTTTTTTTTAATGCTATTAATGCCATTTTAATGTACAACATAAACATACAAAAATACAGAGAGAGAGAGAGAGAGAGAGAGAGAGAGAGAGAGAGAGAGAGAGAGAGAGATGTCAAACCCCTTCATCACTGTTCACAACAGAGCATGCAAATATGAATAACTCATCTGAAGGGCAAAGCACACAAAACAGACAAAAGAAGAGTTACTTTGCGTTAAAACATGATTTAATTTTAATAATCAAACAATTAAAAAAATACACTTGCTGTTTGATAAAAAACGTTATCTTTTTTTTAATGCTATTAATGCCATTTTAATGTACAACATAAACATTCAAAAATACAGAGAGAGAGAGAGAGAGAGAGAGAGAGAGAGAGAGAGAAATATATAGAATATATAAAAGTTCTCACCTGATCATAGTATTTGTTGATATACTTGTACAACTCATGCAATGCCACTAGATGATTAACTTCATTAGAGTAGTTCTGCAATGGAAGCATAACAGAGGATAAATATTATTATAATGAATTTATAATAATTAAAAAATGCATTTAATATTGGCATAACAAATTTGTTGTCTCACACTGTGGGGGGATGATTCACATAAAATAAATATATCGTAGCCTCATATATATGGCATTAATTAGGGTTTGACTGATTTTGCTGTAGTTTATGTGTATGGATCACACTAAAATTCCCATAATTCCCAAACACGACCTTTAAAATCAGAACAGATTTGAAAACACTAGGCATTACACGCTTGCCGGCTTTGTAAATAGTTACTGAGGAAAAACTGGGCGTCATACACTAAATGACTGAGGATCATTTACACACTACCAGACTTTCAAACTGTTCTGAACACGAACTCATGCAGAAAAATGTGCCTTGTTGCTAGGAGACGTGTGACAAAAGATAACAACATTGGCTCAAAATATCAAACTATATGTCTCATATCCTCTGAATGGATGGAATCAGAATCTGAAGCTATAAAATCGGAGTATGTGACCCTCATACACTACGTAAACTCTGTCAACTCGAATCTGCAGACTGGCTCTCACTTTCGGCAACAAGCATCAACTTGTCCAGACTGTAAATGGGGTAAAAATCTGGCTAAAAGTCATGTAGTGTATTCAAGCCTTCCTTAAGGAGAAATATATAGAATATATAAAAGTTCTCACCTGATCATAGTATTTGTTGATATACTTGTACAACTCATGCAATGCCACTAGATGATTAACTTCATTAGAGTAGTTCTGCAATGGAAGCATAACAGAGGATAAATATTATTATAATGAATTTATAATAATTAAAAAATGCATTTAATATTGGCATAACAAATTTGTTGTCTCACACTGTGGGGGGATGATTCACATAAAATAAATATATCGTAGCCTCATATATATGGCATTAATTAGGGTTTGACTGATTTTGCTGTAGTTTATGTGTATGGATCACACTAAAATTCCCATAATTCCCAAACACGACCTTTAAAATCAGAACAGATTTGAAAACACTAGGCATTACACGCTTGCCGGCTTTGTAAATAGTTACTGAGGAAAAACTGGGCGTCATACACTAAATGACTGAGGATCATTTACACACTACCAGACTTTCAAACTGTTCTGAACACGAACTCATGCAGAAAAATGTGCCTTGTTGCTAGGAGATGTGTGACAAAAGATAACAACATTGGCTCAAAATATCAAACTATATGTCTCATATCCTCTGAATGGATGGAATCAGAATCTGAAGCTATAAAATCGGAGTATGTGACCCTCATACACTACGTAAACTCTGTCAACTCGAATCTGCAGACTGGCTCTCACTTTCGGCAACAAGCATCAACTTGTCCAGACTGTAAATGGGGTAAAAATCTGGCTAAAAGTCATGTAGTGTATTCAAGCCTTCCTTAAGGCGTACAGCGGTTGTGACTTTTACTCAAACTTTAAAATTTTTACTCAGTCTTTGCAATTTATTCTCAGATTTGTACTTTCATACCAAGACATTGTGAGTTCCACACAGCGACTGTGAGGATAGGGACACACCAAACCGACTCCAAAGAACAAGCGCTGAGGAAAGCCTACTGTGGCATCACCTCACATCACCTGTGTCGGGGCAAAAAACGTACACTAGACCACATCAGACAGACTACAGCCGATGGCCAGCTAGCGCGTACACCCTGCGCTTGTGTGAGAGAACATAACTTTCCCATACCAGCAGGTGGCAGTAGTCTGTATTCGGCATTCAATCAGGGAAACCGGGAGAGCTAGAACTGTGGATAGACCAAGTGGCAACCTTCCGGTCTCTCTCGTGAAACCAACACGGAAGTGACTAAAACTGCAATTCATCGACTGGCCGCTCCAAAAGGGAGTCAGTCCCATAGACTCCCCATGTTAAAATGCCCAACTTTACAGCAGAAAAAAATATGTTTACAGCCTGGTACAAAAAGTTGTTTTGGTCTATATAGCTAATTTTGCTGTTCATGATAACTGTGAGGGGGGTGAATTTTTTTATAACTCATCCGTTTAAATTATATTAAGCCTTAAAGTTCTGCATAATTAAGGGCGTGGCCACTTGAGTGACAGGTGGATTGCTGCTGCTGTCACCACCGTCGAGCTAGGTGGACGTGGTTTCAGCAACCAGCTCCACCCACATCCCGCCTCTTTGCCCATTTTTTCGATTATCCAGGAGTGACGCGAGGTGACGCACTGCCAAGATGGCGACGGCCGGCTCCGCTAACTTTGAGCTTCAAAAACGCTCTTCAGAAACCTACGGGTGACGTCACAGACACTACGTCCATGCTTTTATACAGTCTATGGGATACACAAAGCAAGCAGTGCTTGCTTTTACCATTGTTTACACCAGCTGTGCTCATTACTGATGGATTTGTGTAGCTTTTTTCCATCATGTCTGCTAAGTTGGCTTGGTCTTCCTCTTGTGGATAAAAAAAGAAAGAAACGGATAGATTGACAACAAGTGTCTGTGCCTTCCCTCTTTACTCTGTCATTGGTTTGCTTTCGTCAGTTCTGTTTTTTTCTTGTGCACTCATTCGCTAACAGCCAATTGGAGTCCTCTTTCTCGCCAACGAGCTCCGCCACAGATTTGACATGCAGAATCGGACGAAAACAGCCGACAGTGTCCAACTAGAGCCAACAGTGCAGAATTTACAGAAAAAAAAACTAAAAAGGCCGATGCTCAAATAAAAAAAACAACAACAACTGACATTGCCTGACTGCTGTCCGTCATCTTGGTGTGTCCCGGGCTTTGCAGTTTGCTTTGTACAAAGAGCTTTCTAACAAGAATCATCTTTGAAGGCCAGTCAAAACAATCACATCTAATGAATCAGGTGAGGGCCCTTTATTCGTGGGAAATTTGCACCCACATGTAACCGAGTAAGTGTTGCTTGCCACTTTCCTCCCATCTGGACCAATCGGTTTTGTGCAAGTGTGCAGAGACAGAAGAACCAGCCTCTCTTGTGGGTCTGGTTTTGATACTTTTGCCTACCGCCACAATACAGAAAACACCCTAAATCCTCTGATGGCTTTTCAGAATGTTCTCTTTAAGTTTCTTTAACCCAGGCTGTTCGTCATCATCAAATTTGTAAATATGGTAACCTGAGCATCACAGTGTAGGTAAATGTCCCATAACTCACCCTAGAGAGTTCAGCTAGAGAAGAGTTCATCTCTTGGTCACTAACAGGGATGGTCTGTCTTATATCTGAATAATATCTGATGAAATACAATCAACAAAGCATGGTGAGTACATGTCATTCCACATTAAGCATTAAACTGCATTAATATGAGCTAACTGAACTCACCTCTCCACCATTTGTTTGTAGCGTGGGATGTCTCGAGCGTACAGGAGCTTGTTGATTGGGGAATCCTGTATGTACAACACAGAGAACCAAAGTCATTAGCGGCTGGTCTTTAAATCTGGCGTCTTCCCACAATCCATCTCCTCCAGCTTCATTTTGATTGGCTTACCCTGCCCAGTTTGTGGTCGGCGATAGTGCAGGAATCCATGAAGGTCTGAGCAATGACTGACAGCACTGCATCTACATTGTCAGAGGCCTGAACATCGAAGATGAACTGAGGGTTCTTCAAGATATTAATCCAGAATCTCAGTGGCAAGCTACAAATCAAAGTCAAAATATAAATTGTGACCGAATTACCCATAATACTTGGCTCATCTTAAAAAAAAAAAAAAAGAGTTATTTACCAACCTGTTTGTTTTCCATATGTGGATTGTCTCTGGGTCTGTAATGTTGTGCTGTGCAGCCTGGTCATCCAACAGATCAAAGAAATATTTGACAGCCAGAGGAACCGGCTGACTGGTGCTCAGAATCACAGTGAACAGATCGTCTACGAACTTCTGCAGTGTACCCTAAAACACACAGTACAGGTGATTCATCTGGCCCTATTTAAAGTGAAGTGTGACAGTGGAGTGTGTGTGTGGTACCTTCACAGACAGCAGGCGTGTGAGGTAGATCTCTGGGATGGCCTTGGCTCTCTCACGCTCTTTGTCTCTCAGACTGCCCCGTCTGTGTTTAGGTAGCTCCGCCTCCTCACCGGCCTTCACCAGGTGCCACTGCTTCACTCCTCCTTCGTCTCCATCCTCCAACATCGGGGTCTCTGAGAGAGGAAAGAAAGAATATATGAAAATATGAGAAAATCTGTAACAGCGGTATGATCAAACGGTTTTCTTTTCATTATTCTGGATTATACGCTACTGTTCAAAAGATTTTTATTTTTGAAAGAAGCCTCTTATGCTCACCAAGGTTGCATTTATTTGATCAAAAAATTTTGTGAAATATTATTAGAATTTAACAATCTGTTGTATTATACTACGGGGCCGTGGAATGCTTGAATCTGATTGGCTGACGAATGTTCTGTGTGAATGTGTGCAATTATTTTCAGGGAAACGCACGGCGAACGTAGTTCCAGGCAGCTCTCTTGACCGCAACAGTTCCATATTACTTCGCATAGTTAACTGTAATAATGGAGATTAGCATACAGTACCTATACAGCACACAGGAATTACTGCAATCACACATGCTCGCACACGCACACTACGATCACGCAGTTTGCATAAAAAGATGTTGTCAGCGCTGCCCTGACGATTTGATCAGTTAGCCTGTTTAGTGTAGCAACTTAAAGGCTACACATGACATTTCTCACTAGAGAGGTAATAACAGCGCTATTTAGAGATGCTGCTGCAGAACACTGTTGAGGGACGCACAGATGTAGCCTAATTCACACAAGCTCTCTCTCTCTTTCTTTCTCTTTCTCTTTCTCTGTGTGTCTCTGTCTCTCTCGCTCTCTTTCTAATAACTTCATTAATAACTGCATTAGAATGCTATCAACTGCAAAACAAAGTCAAAATACAAGTTGTGACCAAATTACCTATAATTCTTGGCTTATCCTTAAAATAATTATTTACCAACCTGTTTGTTTTCCATATGTGGATTGTCTCTGGGTCTGTAATGTTGTGCTGTGCAGCCTGGTCATCCAACAGATCAAAGAAATATTTGACAGCCAGAGGAACCGGCTGACTGGTGCTCAGAATCACAGTGAACAGATCGTCTACGAACTTCTGCAGTGTACCCTAAAACACACAGTACAGGTGATTCATCTGGCCCTATTTAAAGTGAAGTGTGACAGTGGAGTGTGTGTGTGGTACCTTCACAGACAGCAGGCGTGTGAGGTAGATCTCTGGGATGGCCTTGGCTCTCTCACGCTCTTTGTCTCTCAGACTGCCCCGTCTGTGTTTAGGTAGCTCCGCCTCCTCACCGGCCTTCACCAGGTGCCACTGCTTCACTCCTCCTTCGTCTCCATCCTCCAACATCGGGGTCTCTGAGAGAGGAAAGAAAGAATATATGAAAATATGAGAAAATCTGTAACAGCGGTATGATCAAACGGTTTTCTTTTCATTATTCTGGATTATACGCTACTGTTCAAAAGATTTTTATTTTTGAAAGAAGCCTCTTATGCTCACCAAGGTTGCATTTATTTGATCAAAAAATTTTGTGAAATATTATTAGAATTTAACAATCTGTTGTATTATACTACGGGGCCGTGGAATGCTTGAATCTGATTGGCTGACGAATGTTCTGAGGTGTGCAATTATTTTCAGGGAAACGCACGGCGAACGTAGTTCCAGGCAGCTCTCTTGACCGCAACAGTTCCATATTACTTCGCATAGTTAACTGTAATAATGGAGATTAGCATACAGTACCTATACAGCACACAGGAATTACTGCAATCACACATGCTCGCACACGCACACTACGATCACGCAGTTTGCATAAAAAGATGTTGTCAGCGCTGCCCTGACGATTTGATCAGTTAGCCTGTTTAGTGTAGCAACTTAAAGGCTACACATGACATTTCTCACTAGAGAGGTAATAACAGCGCTATTTAGAGATGCTGCTGCAGAACACTGTTGAGGGACGCACAGATGTAGCCTAATTCACACAAGCTCTCTTTCTTTCTCTTTCTCTGTGTGTCTCTGTCTCTCTCGCTCTTTTTCTAATAACTTCATTAATAACTGCATTAGAATGCTATCAACGGCTCAAGCCTCCATTACCAGCTTTAAAATGTCGTTTAGGAACTAGCAAAAGAGGCGTTGGATTAGATGCGGAAGAAATAATCCTACTCACAATAGCGATTTAAGTACAATAACCGGACGAATCCCTTTAAATATACCATCTGATCAATGTCTCGAGGTGTGGTAACCGTAGTATATGCGGAATAATTGACTCCGGGCCGTTGAATTATTAGAAAAATAATGCACACCCGAGTGTGCATTATTTTTCTAATAATTCAACGGCCCATCGTCAATTATTCCTTACATATATCTTAAAATGTAATTTATTCCTGTGATGCAAAGCTGAATTTTCAGCATCATTACTCCAGTCTTCAGTGTCACATGATCCTCCAGAAATCATTCTAATATGCTGATTTGCTGCTCAAGAAACATTTCTTATTATTATCAATGCTGAAAACAATTGCTTAATATATTTACAGAAACCATATGACTTTCAGGATTCTTTGATGAACAGAAAGTTAAATTTTTTTTAACATTATAAATCTATTTAATGCATCCTTGCTAAATACAAGTATTAATTTATTTTTACTGACCCCAAACTTTTGAACGGTAGTGTTTATTAAATAAACATAATATGTAATATCTACTTTTGAATAATACAGTGAATTTAAAATTTTAAAAATGAAATGTAACTTTGATATTTTTTCTGTTTTTATTTGGAACTTCATGGACATAAATGAAAAGATAATACTATTCATAACTAATAAATAATTATTTAACACTTCAATAAAAAGAAAAACTTAAGTTAGTAAAACTAATATTTTAAAACTAAGAACTGAGATAGTTCAACTCTGTATTCCGATTAGAAGAATTTTAAAGCTGTTGTAAAACTGTCAGTATATGCAAGTCTGCATATCAACTGAATTCTGCATTGATTTGGTAAATTTTGATGTTTTTAGTTCTCCTGAAAAAAATGAAAAAAACACCATGTCATGCTGAAAAACAAGCAAACTTACTCTCTCCTGGTATGTAGTCATGGCTGTCGTGGTGAATTTGCTTGGATTGTCGTGACACCAGTGTTACTGTGGCTCCATCTGGGACCTGCAGAGATATAGGAAACACTTACAAATCAACAATGACTCAGCATGTGAAATTTCACTCCACAAAATAAAGTCATTAGACTGAAGAACAACTTGAGAGACCTTGTAGTGTTGTAAGGTGTTGAGGCGTTTCCAGGACCCCTGAACCACTGATGTCAAGTCCTGATCCGACAAAATCAAATGACCAGCCATTCCCGCCCTCCACTCTATAAAACACAAGATTACAAGAACTTACATTTATCATTAAATATTCAATTAAACAGTATTACATACATTTTTTAAAATAATTTTTATTTTATTAATATTATTATTTAATCTTTATGTATTTCAAGTAATAAATACACAGTAAATATACATTTCTTTAAATGATCGGCTTGGTTTTTAAACATTGTATCAGCTAGTGTCAGGCTCTTACCTAGATGCACAGAGTCAGCGGAGGGTCTCTGGGAGTATGACGTGCCCTTCAATGTGTGCTCCACAATCTTTTCCTTCACCTGTGTGATGGTGTCACAATCCAGCACTTTAGTGGGGACCGTCTGAGACTCACCAGCACCTCCGCTGCTGACCAGAACATTCAGAGTCTATGGGGCAACATGGAAAGAGGTTGAAAAGCAGTTTTTTTGCTTTAAAGTTTCACATTTTATTACTTATGAAAAACTTTCTATATTTTTTCAGGACTCTGCCATGTTATACGTCATGTGTGAATGAGTTATCAGATTAAAAACAAACAAAGAAACAGTAAAATATCAACCTTTCTCGTAAAAGTCTAAATAATGCACAACACATAGTATAATATTCATTTCTGCATCAGAATCGTAATGCAGAGAGCGTGTGTGTCTCACCAGTGTGCGGTACTCCACGTCTTCCCGCAGCAGTCGGTTGTCGTTGAGTGTGTATTTGGCTTTGCCTGTAACAGCGTCCACTGGGCCTTTATCTACCTGGTGCTTTATGGCTCTGAACAGCATATAGAACGCCTCACCTGCTGTATCCTATACATGAATACATGGATATATAAATAAATAAAATAAAAATGTATAATATATAATATAAACAGATACATAAATAAATCCTATAAATAAACACATGGATCTGAAATATGAAATATTAATTTGAGTTATGCTTATGCATGCTTAACCCTGATATATGAAATAATAGTCAGAAAAATCCATATATTTATTTTTTAATGAAACCGTTTATTGAACCTTCAGACAAAATATATATATAAAAAAAGTTTGCACATGTGTTTTTTTGTTGAGTATAATATTTGATACATAAGGCTTTTATAGAATGATACAGAAGAATATGAAGCTCATTCGTGACCAAACTGAACAAAAATATGCAAGGTGCAGTTGGTGCAGAACTGATATTTATATGGTAAAAAGATGAAATTCTGATAGCCTATAATGTAAGTAAATGAAATCTTTATAACTGTTTAGCAGACAACTTAAAATGCATATAAACATCAATTGTTACTCTATATATCACAATAATAAGATTATATTTAAATGCTTTTTTTTTTTAAATCAAAGCTCTGTTTTGATTATGGGGGCAAAACATATAATGCAATGCAATACAATGATGATTGAGAGATGAACAAATAAATGCACTTCAAAAGCCTGATTTATAATATTTAACATGATTTTTCAAAAAAATTATATATAGATAATTAAGTAAACCTATGTTGATTCAATCCAGTAAGTGTTCATCTTTCAATACTACTAACAATATAAAAGTTATTCTTACATTTACTGTATAAAATCAGTAAATATTTCACAGCAAAAAGACATGTGCAGCATCACCTGAAGGGGACATTTCTACAATTATACTAAAAGGTTTTTTACTCACTAAAAAGCATCAAATATCAAACAGACGACAGAAAGCATGTTCGAAGGCATATAGACAGCAAAGTTTTGATTATGCTGATCATTTAGAACCCTTAGATCATGATACAGCAGGCTTTATAGGGTTAATCTGCAATCCAAGTGACTTTTTCTATGGACTAGTTACATATTTAAATACAATTACTGGCACGTTTTCCCCTATTTTAACTTCTCGCTCATCCAGTTCTTTGTATCTCTTACTGAGTCATTGTGAGCCAAACACAAGCATCACTCACCCTGAGGAAGGTGTAAAGACATATAGACATCCAGTTAGTCAACAGCTTCTCCACCACAGACTCGGTCCTGCAACAGACGAGAGATTTCCACTGAGAATCATACTGCCACAATTATCAGTCGACAGATCCACATCCTGTTCATTTATGCGATTTAACAGGAATTCTATGATTTCAGTGTACAGTAACATGGCTTCAATGATATTATTTAAAATCTGAGAGACTCATCACTACTGACCTGCGCAGCATGAGTTTGGGGTTTTTAGTGGTGTACTGCTCCACCAGGTGACTAAGCAGAGTCTTTAGGATGTCGGTGAAATACTCCAGCTTGCCGTGCAGTGCCACCGTGAGGAGGGAGGCCACATACGCCCTGTCCCGTGGAGAGAAGGTCCGCTGGGCTTCCAGAGTGTGGATGAACTGTAGAGAAGTATATGATGTATATGAAATGAAGACACCAATCTTAAAGCCTTAATGGTCTATATCAGGGTTCCTCAAATCTTACCCTGGAGGTCCAATGCGCTGCAGAGTTTAGCTCCAACCCTGATCAAACTCAGCTACCTGTGATTTTCTAATGATCCTGAAGACATTGATTAGCATGCTCAGGTGTGTTTGATTAGGGTTAGAGCTAAACTCTGCAGGAAAGTGGATCTCGTGGGCCAGATTTGAGGATCCCTGGTCTATATAATCCAGTTTGGTTGTTTGAATAATTCTTTCTCAGAGGTTTAAGGAAAGCCCACCTTGGTGAGGAACAGTTTGCTGTTTAGCAGGTTAGAGAGCTGAACCAGGCCTTGCTCCACTGTGGCCCGGCGACAGGAGGGAACGTCAAGGTCCCGTCTCAGAGGAGAATCACGGTGACCAGGGAAGAAAATCCTCTCGGAGTATTTACGATAATCCAGGACTGGAATCCCAGAGCCCATGAGATCACTGGACACATCCATCATCTCAGTCATCAGATCTGCGCATAGTACACACACAAAGTTTATTATAAGGCATTTCAAGCATGTCGGCAGAGTCTGGCTGATGTTCATGTGGGAGCTTCTGACCTGTGAACTCCTTTTTACAGCGGTCTCGGACACTCGTCTCCAAATTCTCCAGTTGGATCTGGACTTTCTTATAGTCTCTCAGTGCTTGCTTGCTTTTCCTCCTATTAAACACGCACACGTACACAAACACACAACACCAGTCATAAGGGTCATTTTTTTTTAAAAATTGAGATTTATACACCATCTGAAAGCTGAATAAATACGCTTTCCATTGATGTATAGTTTGCTAGGATAGGACAATATCTGGCCGAGATGCAACTATTTAAAAGTCTGGAATCTGAGGTTTCTCAAAATATTGAGAAAATCGCCTTTAAAGTTGTCCAAGTTCTTAGCAATGCATATTACTAATTAAAAATGACGTTTTGATATATTTACAGTAGGACATTTACTAAATATCTTCATGGAACATGATCTTTACTTAATGTCCTAATGATTTTTGGCATAAAATAAAAATCAATAATTTTGACCCATACACTGTATTTTTTGGCTATTGCTACAAATATACCCCAGCGACTTAAGACTGCTTTTGTGATCCAGGGTCACAAATATAAAAAAAACTACACACTGCTAAGTCTGGTAATGTCTGTTTATTCTCAACTGCACATCCTAGTCATCTGATTTATTGTAACTTTTGAGAAGAAAGCATGCCAAGCATAAACATATGTACTGTACAGTGGGGTCCAAATATACTTTAAATCTTACATATTTGTTAGATATATGCTTCAGAATATGATAATCAGATTATGAACTTGTGGAGGATAATTGTATTATTATTATATTAAATCAACTATTAATTTAAATAGTCTTAATTATAATTAATTACATATATCAAAACTTTATTGTAAAGAAAGAAATTGAGGTAGGTATTATAGGTAGGTTATAATATAATAAATATAATATAATATATATGTTTTAAGTTCTGACCACTGTTTTCATAACACATTGAAATAATCTTGATTTCAATAAATAATATATATATATAAAAATAAAGATAATAAAATTAAAAAAAATGTGCTACTTTCACTAGCTTTCTCAGACTTTTTGATCCCAATGCATGTCTATAATCAGTGATAAACTGGATAATCTGTATAGGAATACCTGTATATGAGTACGATAACCAGCACAATAAGAGCCACGATGGAGGCTCCCACCCCGACTCCCACCTGGGCCTCCAGAGGGAACGCAGCTGGGCCCTGAGAATCATACTGCAACCGTCCCAGAGAAAAGTTCAGATTCCCCATCCTCACCTACACAAACATACACAAAAAACTGATTTCCATATCGTATCATGGGACACTCCACAAAATGAATAAAAGTTCAGATACAAGTTGGCGTACAGTGAACTCTGGGAGCGTGTCGGCGGCCTCTCGTTTCTTCAGCGCTGCCACTGATGGCTGCTGTGTCGGCGGCTCACAGTACAGGTGGTTTCTGGTTAAAGTCTTCACAGCACACTCTCCATCACCAATCAGAGCAACCACCTCGTCCTTAGACATGGCCAAGTCCAGATTTTCCCCCTAGAATCCAAATTCATGGGCCATTCAAGTGTGTAAATAACAAAAGAATCTATTGTGTATTAACACACAGAGGAGAAGAGATCCCAAACTAGAGTTACAGTATGTTTTCATAGCACAATGCAATCTTTTTTATTGCATAATTTATTTTTATTACATTTAAAATATATATAATATAATAATGAATTGTAATTTAATTTGTAATTTTATTCAATTTAACTTTAGCTTTAAACAACTACATTATTAGTTTTGGGGATTTGAATTATAGAGTTACAATATGTTTTTTAAATAAGAAAACAACAATCTTCTGTGCACTAATACACGGGTGAGAAGGGCCTGACCTCCACAGAGATGATGCTGCCGGGTTTGTGTCTGAAGGGTTTGCTGGAGTCGTGTTGATTGAGGCTATGAAGAACAGGATTGGGCTCATAACTGAAGGGGCTGCCGCTGACCGCCTCAAACTCAAAGTGCAGGTTATCCAGGAGGAAATGCACACTGACAGCAGCACGCAGGGCCTCGGGCCCCACCTCCGGAGTGGGACACAGGATCAGAGTTGAGCTGTTCACTGTGCACCGCTCCTCCACCTGATCAGGAACAGGACATGAGGAAACCAGGTGAAAAACTGTGTTATAATAACTGACATGTGAATATTGGACAGTTAGTTTGAGAGAAAGCACAAGCACAGACTCACTTGTGTGAACTCTACCTGTTTGACGACACAGAGACTATCTTCAGGACAGTTGGGCTCTGGGACGATCCGCCGAGCTCTTCTGAGGAGACTGTAATCCACACTGCTCTTCCTCCTCCTCCTCTTCCTCTTCTGTGAGTGCGGCTCCAGAGGGGTCAGGGTCACGTGGATGCGAGGCTCCTGTACCACGTCCAGATGCTGGCCAGACACTCGAATGATACGGCCCCCGCTTAGACAAACACACATGATTCATGAGATGGTTATTACATATGCTGGACTAATAACTCATTTTTTATTTCCAAATCACAGATCATGGAAAAAAATATTGCAAAGCATTCATTTGCTAATTGGTGCAACTGCGCATGTGTCAAATATATAACATAAATTATATTATCTACAACCCTTCTGTAAAGAGTAATGTAAAGACACAATAAAGAGTTTGTAATATAAGAAATCATATTCATATTTTTTCTTGAACTTTTGAAATAAAAAAGATTGCATAAAGCATACCATGTTAACATACTCATACAAAATCACAATTTATAGACAAATTTCTGAAATCAGACAGATAAATACACTGACACATATATGACTGCTCACATCTACGGCAAATATTCTACATACATTAGTCCTAAATCTTCATTTCTTATTCTTACTCATTTTTAAAAATAAAATAAAATAATTAAAACAAGATTAATTTACTTAATTTAATTGAATAAGACTTGTTAAAAAACAAACAAAAAAACACATTGGCAAAATGTTTTTTATTATTTGAAGCACACATCTCCCTAAATGTCCTTCTTTAATTAGCTAATGAAAAATAAGCATTAACATATATTCTCTATGTATAACAAGTCTCGGTACCTTTTGCAGTTTTGTAAGATAAAATAAGACATATAAAATAAACAAAAATCCTTAGTTAAAATAATACAACTTTATGGATTTTCACTCCATTGGAAAAATGTTTAAAAGAAATAAGTTGTAAAAATATAATGTTACTTACTCGAGGAAGTTTTTTAATATAAATTAAATTAAATAGGCTACAGTATTTCCATGACATAGGACAAGCAGTTTTGCAAATAAAATAAAAAAATAAAATAAAGCCTTTAAAACAAGATAACTTTATTGATTTGTCTAAGACTTGTTTTCAGAGAAAATATTATTCTCACTCCATTGGCAAAATATTTAATTTACTAATAAAAAAATAAACAGTAAAAAACAAGTCTTAATACTTACTGTAATTCTGTAAAAAATAAACAACAAATAAAATCAAACTATACTTAAGTTCTTTAGAATACATGTCAAGTTTCTCACCTGATGAAGCTTTTGGAGGGAGCAGCATGGGTTACATTGGGGTCTGGGGTGTATTGATAGAGGACTTCCTGTAGACGGCGCTCAGCTCTACCAAAGCGCACTGTAACGCCGCTCTCTCCGGTTCGGTTACTCCCTCCAGTCACACACTCAACATGTTCGTTGTTGTACTGCTTGGGAGAGCTGTTAAGACACAGACTACTAAAACTCTGAACTCAGTGTTGCCAAATGTGAATAGTCACAAATGACAATAAATCTTGAGTAATGTATGGAGTATATTAGATTTATGAATTGATGTATTTAGAACACAGCTCATTGTTTCAGATCTACAAAGACTTCGAACATTAACAGAAGGATGATTCATTATGTATAACATAATCAGCTGACACGATATGAGTTGCAGAGATGACAACATGATGAGATTTACTGATGACTTCTGTCTGACTGCTCTACACAGTCACTTACATGTAACATGGGACTCCACCAATCAGGATGCTGATCTCATTGGAACGGCCCGTCAGAAGGTTCTGTCCCGTGATGGTGAGTGATGTATATTCATAACTTTTTATGATTTTTTTCGCCATATTTGAACATGTTTTTTCTTGTTTGAAGCATTAATCCCACTATATTTATTTTTTTCAAAAATGCCTTTTAAAATTTAAATAAACATTAAACAAAACTTAATACCTTTCACAATTTTTTTTAAATAATAATAATAAAGTTTTAAGTAAAAGTCAAATTTTTTTTTAAATGGCCAAAAACCTCCTTGCCTCATAAATACAGGATGAATTCCTTGCATGTTATTCATTCTTGCTAAACAATTTTTATCCCTGTTGTGGCCTGTTGGATTAATGGTTACCTGGTAACGGAAACGCTGGGCAGATTGCCCGATTCCTCCACCTTTAACCTGAACCGAGACGTGGTCGCTCCGTTCCCCTGCGCTCGCTGTGGTCTCACAAACAATACTAACAGGCACACAAAGAGACCTCCCATTAATCAGTGCACTGGGTCAATACTCTTCATCACACTGTGGAAGCCATTTATACAATGTCATTAATGAGTGCCAGTAATATACAGCATGCCCTCACTCATACTCATATCATATTACCTGGAGGACACCTGGTATCTGTCGGGGATGACCGTGCAGGGGACTCCGGCTACAGTCACAGAGTGCTGGATGTCTTCAGCTCTCTGACCTAGATTAGAGCCAGACACGGTGAGCACTGTGCCACCCTCCACTGGACCAGAAAGAGGCTCAATCTGTAATAAACCAGAAAATGTGTAATGAAGTTACTCGGTGATGACAAAGCCATGGATGTGCATTGAATTAGAGACCTGAAACGCTACACTACTGTTCAAAAGTTTGGGGTTGGTAAGATTTTTAAAAAATATTTTTTAAATAAGTCTCTTATGCTCACCAAGGCTGCATTTATTTGATTAAAAATGCAGGAAAACAGGAATATTGGGAATTATTATTACAATTTAAAACTGCTGTTTTCTATGCTAATAATATATTATAAAATGTAATTTATTCCTGTGATGCAAAGCTGAATTTTCAGCATCATTACTCCAGTCTTCAGTGTCACATGATCCTTCAGAAATCATTCTGATATGCTGATTTGCTGCTCAAGATTAATTTCAGATTATTATCAATGTTAAAAACAGTTGTGCTGCTTAATATTTTGTGGAAACAGTGATAATTTTTTTGAAATAGAAACTGAAAAATGTAACAAATCTCACTATATTTACTTTATTTCCTTTTTCTTCCTTTAATTTGTGTGGTGTTACACCATTGATCTCATCATATTAAAACCCCTGAAAATACATAATATTTTGTCTTGTTTTCCAGTGTAACACATGACGGTCTTACACATGATTATTACTATTAAAAAAAGTTTTTTGAAAAAGTTTTTTTTCTCATTTGAAGCATTAATCCCACTATATTTCCTTTTTAAATTCCCTTTTAAAATTAAAAATAAACATTAAAATCTATACTCTAAAAAAACTTAATATCTTAAGTTATATCTTATAAGAAAATACATTTTTGCAATGTAAAAAGTTGCTTTTTTCAATGTAAAATTCTTTGCATTTCATTCATTCTTGCTAAACCATTTTTATCCTTTTTTCCATTTTTTATCGCTTTGACAAACAAAATTTCAAAGAACAGCATTCATTTGAAATAGAAATCTTTTGTAAAATTATACATGTCTTTACTGTTACCTTTGATCAATTTAATGCCTCGTTGCTAAATAGAAGTATGAATTACTTTAATTAAAAGTACTTAATTTCATTTAAATTTCCACCTAGCAACCAGATAGAGAAACCTAGCAACTGAACTGAACACCTTAGCAACCTTATAATGATGGCATGCCAACCAACCACAACACCCTAACAATATTACTCACATTTTCTTAAGTAAAAAGCTTGAGTCCCTGCACGCAAACATCTATGAAGTCATTTAGCTAATCATGCCAGTTGAAATATTGTGATCTGTTATGCTCTGATTTATACATCTAATGGACAAAACAATTACTGTACAAACACAAGGGTCAGCAAGTAAAAGCACAAGCACTAGGGTCAGTCCTTAAAGGACCACAATGTATAAGATGCTGAAAATACAGCTTTGACATTAGAGAAATAAAATACAGTAATTAAAAAAAACAGTAATTTCGTAAAAATGTATAATATTTCACAGTATTACTGTTTTACTGTATTTTTCAATCAAATAAATGCAGCCTTAGTGAGCAGAAGATACCTTTTTTGAACAAAATCCTTTGAAAAATCTTACTGACCCCAAACTTTAATGCAGGTTTATGTTAGTGTTCGGGGCCAGAGGTTACCAGACTTCTAAGAACAACTATTCACATAAACATTCAAACCTATTCAGTTTATAATTTTTATAACCTTCAAGCACAACTGACAACTGTGTTCTACTAATTTATAGTCTTGCCTTCATAGCCTACTGCTGTGCAGTCTCCAAAATGTTGCACATCAGTCAATTAATGTGGGATGATTGGTTTCAGATGTACTCTCCCCTAAATGTCCCGTAAAAAAAACACCATTGGTTGTTGTGAATGTCAGTCAGACAGCCCCTTGCTGTCTATGTGAGCATTACCAGTCATTATTCTCATAGTCAAGCCCCAACAAGCCTCAAGATGTTGCATTACCTGATAGAGGTGTAAGTTGCGTCCCAGCAGTGTGATCTTCCTCTCGACATTGACAGGTAGGAGTGAGCTGCCCTGGATGCCCTCCACACACGGACAGGCGTGAGGACCTCTGCTCACGAGTAAACTCTCCTCTTCCTGATCACACACAGATGGACAACACACTAAATTACACACACCACGGCTTCGAAAAGAGCAGACGTGGAATATCTCTCAGCTTCTGCTATATTACAGCAACACGTATAACAAGCAGAATGGCAGCACAACAAAAGTGAGTGTGTTAAACTAAGATTTAATGAAAAACAAAATGGACAAAAAAAAGCACATGGGGAACAGCCACCAGAAGCTAATTAAATGATTAAAGAAATGTTCTGGGTTCAATACAGTGCAACAGTATCCCTCCCAACTATTCAGCAGCACTGGTTCGGGAAGTATTTTTTTCTGTTCATTTTTCCCATAGGAGTTTAAAAAAGTCTTTGTTAAAGAGTTATAATCCATGAACCATATCAACCAGTTACGAGGTGAGTTACAACATAAAAAAAACTTTAAAAAAACAAAAACTAAAAAATTTTTTTTAAAACTAAACAAAAAGACAAAAGTACATGACTGTGTACTTATCAGCTTTAATGAGGGAAAGAACTACAATCCCATTAAGCATTGTGAATGACACGGTGAAAAATGATGGATGCTTGGATACATTTATAGGCCTGTAAATTCATACATACATAAATAGTATATTTTACAATTACTACAATATTTATGAGTTTGAGAGAATAGGGAGACTGACTATTGCGTGATTTGTGGTGCTTCATTGGAGTGGGCGGGCACTAAAGTGCTCTTTTGGTGCTCTTTGCTTGCTTTAATTCCCTGATAGGTGGAGATTTTTTTTTTTTTTTTGAAGAATCATGGGTAATGCATTTCCTTTTTTTTAACCAGGTATTCTGCTGCTAAACACGATTAAAGAAATAGGCTGAAATAATGATGGCTGATGGCTTCAACAAAAGCATATACCATATGTAGCTCACAGTAGGTCTGTTTTCAAAGTTTTTTGTTGATACGTTTGTTTGTTAAAAATTACCCTATAGAAAAAAATGGGATTTTTACTACCGAAAACTGTTACACTCTATACTTAGTTAAATGGACAGTTCAGAAAAAGTACAAGAAAAAAAAATTGAAAAGTGTTTCTTTTACAAGGCGTTTTTGTATTTAAAATGAAAGTCAAACATGTTGTTTTGGACCCCATTGACTTTCATTGTATGACCAAAAACAGAAGAAACATTTTTCAAAATCTTTTTTCCACAGTAAGTCATACAGGTTTGCAACAACATGAGAGTGAGTAAATGACGACAGAATTTTATTTTTTTTATGGTGAACTATCCATTTAAACCGCAAGAGCGTTACTGTAACCCAGATTTTTGCTTGTTTTTTACAAACTGATGAACGAGTCTAAATTAATTTCTGTGCATCATCATGAACCCAGAACATTGCTTTAATGTTGTGACATTAAATGACTTTAATATATAATTATGGTCGAATTAGTAATAGAGCAGAACTGCTTTCATCTATTTAATTATATATCCCATCATTCACGCATGTAATTTACGCTTTAGGTACGTTCAACCTCCAGCATCTACAGCGCTACATGCGAGCAGAGTTGGCCCGAGGAACCACACTCACCAGGAGGAAAAGGTCAGCTGAGTCGGACTGGTAGTCTGTGTCTGGAGCGAGGGGGAAATCGGATGAATCAGGCCCTGCCTCGCCGTCGCCAGAGGGGGCGCTGGCTGACGACACAGGGATGCCCGTGTCTATAAGTGCATCTACATCCATCTCCGCCTGCGAGAGGGTAACCACTTCAGAGGAGGATGAGGGCAGCGCTTCAATCAACGGCCCCATCGTCACCACTTCCCCAGCTCTCAACGCGGGCAGCGTCACTTCAGCGGCCTCTTCATGCGACGAACCTCCCACAAGTTCTTCATATGATTGCGGGGTCGGTGTTGACAGCAAACCTACCTGGATGCTCTCCTCCACCCAAGAGGCATTTTTCGATAGGGTCGTGGCCTCTGTGATGGTATCGGTTGACTCTGTAGTGGCACTGGATGTGTGCGTAGAGGAGGTTGTAGCGTGGTTGGGGGTGGTGGGTGGTTGGTTGAGTGGGGTCGTGGTTTCCAGAGTTCTTGTGGGGGCGGCGGTGGCCTCTGGAGTAGTGGGAGGGGTCACTGGAGGGGTAGTCATGACAACGGCTTCGGTCGTTATGGCAACCTCAGTGGTCGAGAGGGTTGTTGTCGTGGGTGTGGAGGTGGTGTATGTGTACGCGTCAAAGTCTTTTATTGTTTGAGGGGCAGACGTGGGGAGCACAGACAGCTGCCCTGCCCATCGCACGCCTCTGGGACATTCTTCAACGCATGACAGCCGCTCACCAATGGATGTTTTAATATTGCTTTTGGATGATGATGGCATGACACTAAATGGCTAAAACTTTTCACTACCACTTTACAATAAGGTTTTATTTGTTAACATTAGTTAACTACATTAGTTAACATGAATTAACATGAATTAGCATTTATTAATATGAGTCATTTTTCAATTATTACAGATTTGAAACAACATGATGGGGAGTAAACGATGACCGAATTTTCATTTTTTGTGTGAACTATTTCTTTAAGAATGAAAAAACATTGTACTGTATTTTTGTGATTGCTTTATTCATGTGGCATTAAAACACAGGAGAGTCCATGTGACTTACGGCCTGGTGCCAGAGAGCTGCTGCGCCACAGAGCAGTCATAGAAGGTGAAGTCTGCGAGCGCTACGGTGACCGTCTGAAAGCGCAGGGACAGCGTGATGGACACAGAATCTGTTATAGAGGACAAACATGAGAGGACTCTGGGTCAAAATGGTAAACGGATATTATGGCGCTGGAACATCACGTCACATAATACCTTAAAAAATAATGAGATGAAGTTAAATGCACCATCCACAGCTTATGTCACCATTCATGCAGCGTCATTAACTTTTCAGTGGAATGCTTCAATGGAAGAGTAAGAGCAATGGTGCGGAAAACCAACAGTGGAAGTGAAACTGGAACATGACTATTCTAAAGTTCCAGAGTGATCCCAGGCTGATGTACTACTGTTCAAATTATTTTTCTGATGTTTTTGAAATAAGTCTCTCAAGGCTGCATTTATTTGATCAAAAATACAGTAAAAATGTTAATATTGTGAAATATTATTAACATTTTATATTTGAATATATTGTAATTTACTCCTGTGATGCAAAGCTGAATTTTCAGCATCATTACTCCAGCCTTCAGTGTCACATGCTCCTTCAGAAATCATTCTAATATGACGATTTGCAGCTCAAGAAACATTTCTTATTATTATCAATGTTTAAAACAGTTGTGCTGCTTCATATTTCTGTGGAAACTGTGATATATTTTTTTATGAATAGAAAGTTCCAAATTACAGCATTTAGTTGTAACAGACATTTTTTTGTAAAATTATAAATGCCATTACTGTCACTTTGGATCAGCTGAATGCATCCTTGCTGAATTAAAGCATTATTAGTATTTTTAAATATTACTGACCCCAAAATTTTGAGCGGTAGAGTAAGTCGCTCTTAACTGTGAGAAAAAGTCACACTGACAATCTGGATTGTAATTATATTAAGTTGATTGGTGCTTGAAAGTCAATCATGACACTCCCACTCATAAATGGTTCCACACACAGCCCACACAGGTTTTACAACTGTAAACCAGTTCCTTGAGGCCAGTTTGTCAAGTTGTTGAAAACTTAAAAATGATTTAAAACTCGAAAATGATTCAAACAAGTCAAACATCATTAGTGTGTGGGTTTTCTCACCCTCTCCCTGTGGTACTGGTGGAAGTCTGTGGGCCTCAGGAGTGGCACAGGTGACTGTGGTGCCCTGGACCGAAGCAGCTGTTTCAGTGTCTTCAAAGAAACACGAGTACATGTCACCCTCTGACAGACTGGGCAAACCCGGGACACCCACAGCAATCTACACACACACACACACACACACACACAAAAGACACATATTAGCCATGGTTATAATCAAGCAATCATTGACCGGTAACACAAAACATATTTCATTAAGCTTTATAGCTTTGATAATTCATTAGAAAATAATCCCTTAAGGAATAGTTAAATAAATATGACAATGATTGGGGAAAAAGCTTTTAAGCATAAAAAATGAGGCAAGATAATGTGTGAATTATCCCATTAGGGAGTGCAGTGGCAGAGTCTGCTAGCTTAGAAACTAATTACTGTAGCTCGCTAACCATATGCTAACTGAAACACAAAGAAACAATTATTTAATTTGGCCATTTACAGCTCTGGATATATTATATGTCATATACATAACTGTTCAAGAGTTTTAATTAAAGGGATAGTTCATCCAAGAATTCAAATTCTGCCATCATTTACTCACTTCTGCCAGCATTTCTAACTTCTTCTGAACAACAAAAAAAAAGATTTTGTGAAGAAAACATTTTCGATTAAAGATTAAACATTTTCGGTTCCCAGTGAATTACATTTGTATGGAAAAACAATACAGTGGAAGTCAATGGGAACCAAAACTGTTTAATTACCAACAATCGTCAAAATAACTTATTTTGTGTTCAGAAGAAGAAAGAAATGCATACAGGTTTGGAACAACACGAGGGTCAGTTATTTCACAACGATGCAGTAATTTGATTAGAAGTGAAAGTACAGACATTTATAATTTTACAAAAAATAAATAAATACTGTTCTTTTGAACTTTCTATTCATTAAAGAATCCTGAAGAAATGTATCAGTTTCCAACTAAAATATGAAGCAGCACAGCTGTTTTTAACATTAATAACAATAAGAAATGTTTCTTGAGCAGCAAATCAGCATATTACAATTATTTCTGAAGGATCATGTGACACTGAAGACACTGAAGACTCAGTTATGATGGTGAAAATTTTTGCATCACAGAAATAAATGACATTTTAACATACATTACAATAGAAAGCAGTTATTTTAAATTTATTTTAAAGTTTTAAAGTTATTTTAGATATCATTACACAATATTACTGTTTTGAACCTTGTAGTGAATGAAAGATATTAAATGAAATATTACAGGGTTTACTTTTAGGCTTTATGACTGAATTTTGATGGTGTTTCTGACTGGATGATTTTATACCTGTTTCTGTTCTCCAAGGCTGGCGTTATATTGGCTCAGTGACTCCACTCTCAAGCACTGCTGCTGCTCATCAAAGCTCCACAGCCAATGACCTTCAACAGAGCCCAGCCTACAGTCTGAACGCATCCCACACCTGGAGGAGAGAGGAAAAAAATGACCAGACAGGATGATGAGTAAGTTAACTGACAGACAGAGAGAAATACTACTTAAATAAACTGAAAACTGCAGTCCAATGCAGGAATTACAAGAAGAAACTCACCGGCCATCAAGAACACACCAACCGCAGTATGGGTCCTTCACTGCCAGACAGGAAGTGCAATCAGTGTGCTTGTCACACTCTGCCACAGGCCTCTTCTCCACCTGACCACACGGCACAGCAGGAGAACTCACACACAACACACAGCTATGACCCAGAGTTTCCACTCCAGGCATATGGGGGAATGTGATCGTGAACTACATCAAATATGCACTTTTAAACTTTTTTTTATGCTGATTAGGAGTGGACATTTTTCAGTATGTATTTGAATATCATAAAAATCATTAAACTAGAGTGACCATACGTCCTCTTTTTCCAAATTGGCTAAAATGTCCAGGTTTTGGCTTTGTTTTCCTATTGACATGTTCTGTACAGTACTTCTACATTATATGTAAGAATTTCATTGCTTTGACAGTTCTCTGTAGATCCCACTTTTTCGCATACAACGATTGGTCGGTTACGTACAATGCCTAACCCTAACTACTTTTCAATCATTATCTTCAGGAATGAAAAACAACAGGAAAACAAAGCCAAAACCCAGAAATTTTAGGCCATTTAGAAATCCTGACCAGGACACTTCTGGGAAAAAGCGGACGCACGTTCACCTCAGTAAAATTAACCTCAGAGTACTACACTCTGTAAACATCACCAAATTGGTTTAACATTTATATATATATATATATTTTATTTTTTTTGCTTTTATTTAAACAACATTTTCCAAAAATCAGGCAAAACTAAAATGATTTTAAACATACTTAATTATCCTATAATTATTACAAATATAGTTTTACAGTTTTTATAAGTATATTGCATCAATGTTGAAACTATTTAAATTTGTAATAATAGTTCATAATATCGAATACACAATATCTAATAAATACAGCCTTGATGAGCATAAGAAAAACAAACCTTAATTAGTATTTTTGACTGGTAGTACTAATGACATGATTTGTTAACTCACAGAATGGCTGGTCATGATGTAGATGTGTCTATGGGTGGAATCCAGCAGTAAGTCACTGTTGATGGCCAAACCAGGTTGGATGAGAAGGGTGGAGTACTTCTTCACCTCTCCTGAGTTACCCAGGAACACCTAACATGAGATAAAAAGCACCTTGAACTCGCCACGAAAAAAAAAAAAGTGTTTCAATAAGTAACCTGACAACGGCTCCTAAGAACTTCCTCAAGGTTTAATTGAATATTTAGGCTTGTGAAACTACATAAATAGCAACAGGACACCTTAGAGACACGAGGAGAGCTGGATGTGGACAGGTCTAACTAAAAGTGCTGAAAGTGTCTGCTGAAATGGTTTAGCGCTAGAACATTTCTAAGTCTTATTAAAGGAAAACGACATGCAAGGATCTGAGAGAGGTGCCTAATGCCTCTTGAATTCTATCACGACTGGGGTCGATTTCAGCAAACCAGATTAGAATAGTGAGAATCCCCTCAGAAGAGCAGGTATCCTGCTTAAGAGTCTCAGACACCTTACACCGCGAGCTGCTCACGCACTACACCCAGTCAGGTTTGCGTTTTAACTGGATTAGCATTGACAAACTGTCGGCCACGGTCTACTGCGGGAGGAATCATGCATTGCAACATCATCGTATCATGCAAGACTGAATAGTTGTGTAGATGTAGGGTTAGAGGAGGTGTACATGCATGTCTGTTTGTGAGGGAAAATACAAATGTATATGCGATTCTTCAGTTTTTTCAGTTCCTTTCAACTGAAATGATCTTTCTTGGATCACCCCAAAAAAAATTGATTTTATCTTTTATATATATATATATATATATATATATATATATATATATAGAGAGAGAGAGAGAGAGAGAGAGAGAGAGATGGGTGAGTTAATTATAATATACTTAAATATTTATTAATTTATTTGTGTGTTTGTAAGTAAAGTGAAATTAAATCTAAATCTAAATCTAAATATAAATATTTAAACAATTGTATCTCTCTCGCTATACTTACATATATACTGTGTGTATATATATATATATATATATACACACACACACACATTCCATTACATTGATTTTTATATAAAATATCTATCCATCCATCCATTCATCTGTCTGTCTGTCTGTCTGTCTATCTAACCATCTAGTAAAGTGTGTATTGTTTTATTTTCATATTTCAATTCTACCTGTTAACATATATTTACAGTATATAAAATATAATTTCTATTTATATAACAATACACAATACATACACTTCCCATTTCTGTTGTTGCGATATAATTAAATTTAATAAAACGTAACATATTAAATAGCCAAACTTTAACACCTTATGCATATTGTTTTGATGCCTATTCATTATGTTGTTGTCTACATGCATCACTTGTCTTCCACTGTGAAAATGTCACACATGCTTGTGAACAATAACACTGACTTGCCAAAATGTGTCAAAACAGCAGAGAACAGTGGAAGGCTGTCATAGGGAGGCTTGGGTCATGCACTGTTGTTCAGAATTAACCAAACACTATGGTTTAACCTTTGCCCAGACACACAAATCCAGTCAGTGCAAGGCCTAGACGTAACTTGGTCTGTGTTTAAATTTCAGCTCACGAGCCCTTTGAATTTACCAGCATTGTCAAACTGAGACTCCGGTGGTCTCTGAGCAATCACAATCCTGCAAATACAGTGTTTCACACAGTGTGGTTTGTGTTGAAGACTGCTCTGCGGTCCGACTGAAGAAACACAAAAAAGCTTTAGGTATGCTGTTTCAGCATTGTCTTGGCTATGACACATTCACCCTGCAGCGAAATCTCTTTCCATCTGCTTAAGTAGGCAGATAATATTACCATATTAAGTGGACTAATATTTCCCTAGTGGTTTAAAAGGCATACTATAAATCATAAATTGTTTTAGAAATGACCAGTCAAACGGCTAATTTTCATGTCACATACCTTATGCAAATTGCCTTTGGAGTCACCCAAGAAAACAATAGCGTGCCCCTCTTTTACACTAATGGCGACAGCAGTGAGACGGGCGGATGAGCTGTCCAATACAGCTTCAGCTTCAACCGACTCCCGGCTCGCCATTGGACTCGGGGTGTGATCTGAGCCACAGGGATAAGCCTTCAGGGTGTTCTGTGGGGCACAAAAACAAGTTTTTGTGACTGTGGTTTTGGCAAAACCATTGTGACATAATCCAGTTTCATGTTGTGTAATAATAAACTCTGCAATTCTCTGTTTTTTTTAACCATAGTTCTCAGTCTATTGCTTCAAGGCTGTCAAATCCTCTTAGTTCAAAAAGCCAGATTAGATGACGATTATCTTGGTCTCACACTAGGCTGCTCCTTTCTTTGAGTCTAACGCTATCAAATCTGCTCCAGCGTTCTTTGATAAAATCTAGCTTGCATGTCATGCCATGTTCCCTCATTATCAGAAGTGATCTGTTTGTGTACCAGACTAAAGAGCATATGGGGATCAGGAAAATGTGTTTCAGTGTTTGAGGATTTGCAAGAAACACAAAGAATCCTGTATTTGAGTGCACTGTAAAAAATGACCGTGAATTTAACGGTAAAATTCCGGCAACCACAGCTGCCGTTTTTTTACCGTAAATTTTACAGAATTTTTTTTACAGTGTGGCAGACATCCTATTTAAAGGGACTGTTCACACAAAACATCTGTCATCATTTATTCAACCTCACGTTGTTAAAAACATGACTTTCTTCCTTCGGTGGAACGCAAAAGAAGATGTTTCGAAGAAGTTCAAGCTGCTCTTTTCCATTCAATGAAAGTGGATGGGGACCAGAGTCTGTCAAGCTCCAAAATGGACAAAAAAGCATAATAAATCATTATAAAAGTATTCTGTATGAACTGTGCCATATAAGTCCAAAGTCAAATAGCTTTGCATGATGAACAGACAAACATTAAAGTCATTATTTTAGCAAATGCAACAATACGTTTGGCAGAATAACAAGAAAGCTACTGTGCTGCTTCAATAATATGTCGAATGAGAACTTATCTATGGTACGTTTATGATATTTAAAAAAATTTTTTTTGGATATCTATCCCAATTCACTTTCATTGTATTAAAAAGATCCACGTGACCATTCTGCTGAATATTTCCTTCAGTGTCCTATAAAATAAAGTCATAATGGTTTATACATCATGACGGTCGATAAATGACAGCTAAAACAAGCTAAACTAACTATCCCTTTAACAGGCAATTCTCTCCTTTCTAGAAGTCTTCTAGACATCTAACCCTCTTCAGACTTTCTCCTCTCTAGCAGACATCATTAGTAGTTTAAGCTTGGGGGTTTATTGATCCGAATAACCCTGTTTAGGACTGAGCAGGTTGGGTTCTGGATGCTGAATAGGCAAATACATGGAGGTCATGAGGAGGTTGTTTGCCCGTGAGTCCACATCCTTGAGGTCTTTGATTTATCTTAAGATCTTGTTAGGACTAATGCTAGGTAGGCCTGTCTTATGCTCATCAAAGAGTAAAAACATAATTCACTCAGATCATGGCAGGCAGAATCGTATGAGCTAAAGCAATTTGCCTGAGAATTAATGAGGGGCAATACATCTAAATTAGGATAAATGTTAGTTTGAATACACTGTTAGAGGAAAACGATGCGGCCCAGTTCCCTAGAGTTACATTGTGGGCATCCTTTCCTCATTTTCCCATGCTTTTCAAACAAAGTTAAACTACTATGATGATTATGTGGAAATGGTTGACCTCAAAACCTATTTATATGGATAATGTATATGTATAACGTTTCAATGTGAAGACAGTGTACAAGTGAACTACATCGATCAAATATTCCTGTAAAATGAACACTTTGTCATTATCAAGTGTGATAAATCGAGTCTTTTCCAGGGCTTTTTTAACCCTCTTATTTATGCCCTGGCTCAGATCACTTGGGTTATCATTTTTTCCTAACACAATATTACACAGCCATAGGTATACAGTGTAACAAAGTGGTGTGACATACTAAAACACACTTCTCACACTCTCAATAGTTTAATTAGTCTACTAACGATGTCCAAAAGCATCACATCACAGAAGAATTCTATCATTTTTTTCTTTCTTTCTTTTTTTTTTGGAAAATTGTGTATGTCATTTCTACCACATTTCAAATGACATATAGCATTTAACAGAATTCTGTGGTGGAAATTACATTTTGGTGTACAGTTTTGGAATAAAATGCCTGAATCCTTTGTCTTGCCAAGGCTTATTTTACAACTACCGATGGGTGGTATGATATTTTTTACTAACAAAGATAAAATAAAAGATACATAACTGTATTGTGATATCCAATGTTATAACGAAATAAAAATTACTCATATCAATAAATATGATTTTGATCATATTGCCCACCTCTATTGCTACACCTCTATGAATCATTTACAATAAGATCTATAACTTTTATAGCATTTAGAAAATAGAGTGAATTTTCATTTTTTTTTCATTTGTTAGGATACAGCTTAAGAGAATATTTGAAACTCTCCATCCATTTACTCACCGTAGGCAGGTTGGCACAGTTGGATTTAACATCATACTCAATGTATGCCACCTTGTTGCCATCTTTTTCCCCGTATTGCGTGTAGCACAGGTCTCGTGTAGCATCAATACCGCGGTCCACTTCATCCAGAGAGTACACACACAATGCAGATTCCTCGCCGGGTCCATTAGCAGCACTAACCGCCGATGAAAAGACTCCCATCAAAACCTGCGAGCCTCCAGATTCCTCACCACCCACCTGCGCTCCCTGGAGGAAATTGTAGTTCCTTCCTGTTGAGCCCGAGCGACACATTAGCGGAACCTCAACGTAGGAGTAATACGCCTGATCGTCCAAGCACACCCGTGCCACGTACGTACGATATTCCCTTGATGCAGCTTTCAGGTCACGCCTGTAGAATAAAAAGTAGACGTGGTTGCGTCGCGCAAAGGTTGCGACAAAATTGTGATCGTACTCCGAGAGGCGCCCGGCTACTGCGAGCTTGGCCGTTTCCTCATAGGAAAACACCGGCTCTGTCGAAAGTTGTCGAGTGGAGACTGGCGGGGGACTGCTGGGGTAGCCTCGTCCCACATAAAGGACAGGATCCTTGTCTTGCGGTCGCACCACAAGCCCAACCGTTGATGCCGTAGGGTCGTTAGCCGCCACATATTGTGTATCAACAGGCCTCTCGGCAGAGAAGAGGACTTCTTTCACATTGGCTAGGCTGCGTTTCTGGCAAGTGCCCTGGTGTACGCTGCCACAGGTGATGAGCTGGAGGGAATATGGATCCACTAACAGTAGCTTGTTGTGATTGTTAACGAGCCCAGCCTGAGGGCAGTTCTCCAGGGTAACCGGAGGCAGGCAGTCCTTGCTGTCTCTCACGGGGCCGGTTCTCTCATCCACTTCAAGACGGAGGCCATCAAGGCCAGCGAGCTGGAACAGATGGTCCCGAGCCCCCACGTAGACTGTTCCTATGCTGGGGTCAGGGTGCAATGCCAGGTGCTGGAAGACTGTGTCATTGGAGGAAAATCGAGGATAACTGCTGTGGACCCCCAGAACACCCAGGATGAGGGACTGAAGCAGGGTCAAGATGAGGGCCATCCCAAACTTCACTGCAAAAACACTGATTGCATGTGACATGAGTCATTAATGGCATCAGCTCACAGCACAGAGCCAAACATAGTACAGTTAGTTATCGACATGTTAGGAATAATTACATTTAAGGAATTAGGCTATTATTATTATTAAAACTAAGAATAATTGGCAGGCCTGTCATGTACAAAGCAAAGGAATATGTTGTATAAACAAACAAATAAATAAATCAACAGAAGTACTGTGGTGGTATCAAATGGAAATACTATGGTATTCTGATATATACCACAGAAGTAGAGGTTGATAGTGGATTTTACCAATAACTAGGTTGGACCACACTGTCCAATAACCAATTAATCAACCAATAAATTTAAAATGATTTAAAATTTTAATTGGATACTGTTGGATACGATTTAAAATCAATACTGAATGAAAGCAAACATAACACTCCAAAAAAAAAAAAAGTATTGAACGATGAAAATGTACTGTACTTTTTAAGTGAAATATATAAATATAAATATTACTATTGAATACTGAACAATGAACAATACTATGGTTGCTGAAAAAAAAAAGTTCATTCAGTCAGCCTCAACACAGAACTGAATGATACTCCGTATTATACCATATTCATTTAAAATATTCATTTTAAATCATTCATATTCATTTAAAATGGTACTCTGAACTATTATCAAATAATAATATTTATTATTTAAATATAAAGAAAATATACTGTAAGTGTAAATGTACAAAATAACAATAACAACAAAAACACATTATAGTATTTTTTTGTTTTGTGGTAATATAATCTAAAATATGTACCATGTTTTTGTAAGTGGTGTTTAAATACATATTTAAATAAATTAGAAAATGGATTTGAAAGAATACATTTCCAAAAATGTGGTATTATCATGGTAGATGTACAAAAACAAATTAATAAAAAAAATTAAATAAATAAAAAACACTGTCTTACCATAGTACATTTACAAAATATTACTGTTTTTGCACATGTCCCAAATAAATAAATATTTATATAAAATAAATAAATAAATAAACAAACAAATAAATATTACCATGGTATAATGCTTTAAGTAACAATAAAAAGGTACTTAAAATAATACCAAGTATTACCATTTTATATGTACAAAACATGATAATACCACATATTTATAAGTGAATACATGTATAGAATGAAGTGGTCTGCTACAAAAATGAATAATCATTTGGACACAAGACAGCAATCTTCAGACAAGGCCTGTAAAAACAGCCATATTTAAGAAATACGATGGGAAAACAGCACACATACCATTTGTCAGACATGTAATGTTCGGGAGGCTGCTGTCCTCTTGGTTATCCAGTGGCATAGCACATGCCTGTGGAGACAGTCTGTGAGGGTAGAAAAACATGCCGATTAGCTCTTACACAGAGCGGCATTGAGCAATCTGAAGAGAGGAGGCTTAATGCCATTGTGGCTCATGGGAGACACAGCTGTTGAGCTGAGCAATCCTTCTCTGACAGGAAATTGGACGATACAGGCCCCAAGTCACCATCGAAGTCCTATATAATGCATTGCTCTGCAGTAGCAGATTGGCAGAGATCCTGTACTCTGAGGAGGAAAACTGTCGATGATGTTTTATATGAATAAGATGTGATTAATAAGAGGCCATTATAGGGTAGTAGTCTCCGCTTTCTTGAGGCAATTCAAGCTGACCTAAACAATCAATCACAAATAATGTGATTTGATTACTTGTGTTATGGCTCAGCATCACCCCTGATTCTCCATTACCCCAAGTGGAGAACCTTTCGTTCATTTCCCACATTCACTCGTCCACTACTGATCTCTTTCTCCAAGTCAGCATGGAATAAATGGGCACAGTTTAAATGCACAGTATAGAGACACTTACAAAAACTGACTGCAGGTCAATGAATACAATTATTTTAGGGTTTTAATACTCATGAAATGTTGGCCTTTTTCAGTTACCTCTATTTGGTTTGGCTATTTTTTGCTGACAAATTATTTGTATGATAAATGATTAACCAGCAATGACTATGCAGCAGCTTTGGAGTGTAATTTACCAACTTTGAAAACCATATTTTCTATATTGTAAGATTTTAAGATAAAAGTGGGGGTTTGAATCAAAAGGAATGTAACAATTCTGGTTCCGATTCTTGTTCTATAATTGGTCCATTAATGATTCTTTTTAATTTGGAAAACAGAAATTCTGTAATAATTTCAATAATTAATGTGGGTCAGAGACAAAAACTGGTTTTCATGCAAATAAAAGTGTAATAGTCTTTTTTTTCTGAGCACAAAATCATACTTTTCACCAAGATTTACAGAAGACATCTACTAAAATGTCATTCAGTGTAACAATAGTTCACATATCAACAAATCATGCAGAACAAGAATAATTTGATGACATATTAAAAGTCTCTCTATTCAAGCATCACAGTGCAACCCCAAAACACCCATTAATTGATATTTTAAATCAGTATACTTTGCCACAATCCTTCAAACCACTAGGTTTTAGTAAGGAAGTCAAAATGATTGAAAATATAAAACATTTTAATACAATCACAAATTTTTATATATTTTCATTTGTACAGGGCAGAATACGTATGTTGTTTAATTTTTACATAAAGTAGCTATTACGCAGAATGACGATGGTTTGTTACACTGAATGAATCATTAAAAAGAACCGGCTCATAAGAGTCATTCGTTCTTATGTCTGATTCCTGATTAATAGACTCATAGGTTCATTTTAGTGCCCATGCTGTATGTTTATGATTCACTAAAAAGAAATGGCTCACAATAGTTGTTTATTTGGCATGTCTGATTGCCAATTCCTGATCAAAATACTCTCAGATGAGCCAGTTATTTAAGCGGCAATGCAGTATGTTTTTGATTCACTAAAAAGAACCGGATCATAAGAGTCACTAGATAAAGAATCAGACTCCACTGGTCACGCAGTATGCTTTGATTCACTAAAAGTAACGGCACACATAAGTCATGAGAAGTGAGAAGTATTCAGCTGGTTATGTGATCTCAACATAGTGGCCACCCAAAGAGGAGACCACCCTTAAGCAGAATAAAAAAGTTTCTAGGCCACTGATACGAGTCAGCTCATTTGAATTTTAAACAAACAGTCCTTCATTTAAAACATAATGTGTATAAAGAATTTCATTAGGTGTAAAATTTGTAAGAAAAGTTCAATTAATTCACAAAATTTCACCTGAGTTAACAGAGAATGACAGTAGAATTAACCATTAACTACTACTACTATTAACCAAACCAAACAAATAAAAGTGCCCCAAGCTGGCCTATTACCAGATTTTGGAGGTGTGTTCCAAGTGGTCCTGTTGAGTGATTACAAAAACCCTCTCAACATTAGGTTGTACCCTGAAAAGCAGCACAGACAAAAGGTCTCAAAAAGAGCTCAACCTCCACAGTTAGCCAACAGCAAACTGAATAATAGAGGCTCGTTAGGCCGACTTCACTAGAAAAGACATGCAGGTGGTGTTGATTTAACACCAATGACAGTTAAGGCCAACACAATGCAGAGTCTCCTCTTCACAGACCAGTCATAGAGAAAGAGGGGGATGGAGAAAGCGAAAGAGTGAGAGAGCAAGGATTCCACACAAGAATGACAAGCACTTCACCCTGTATCAAAGGATAAAACTCTGAGCCGGCCCCTCCGAAGCGGCTGAAGGGAGTGTATTGTTTGGAAGTATCCCCAGGGGCACAGATAGATGCCGGGACCGGCAGGGTAACATCAGGCCCGTGAGGCATGGCTCACACAGCAGCGCCGAGAGGAGACTGACCCCTCTGTGTCTCTGGGAAGGGTTGGCAGTGACCCCACATTTTTATGGCCTCTAACAGAATGTTACGCTGTCACGCCTCATTGGGCATGACAATGAACATGTAAAGTTGCCACTCTGGATGATTAAGAAAGCTATTTATCCATCTCTGGGGACAATGCGGCCTTTCAGCACGTCGAATGAAACATAATTCACAGCTTATGAGACGTCTTTTCAGATATCAAACCGATGTCGTTAGCCTCACTGCTAAAGGAGATTTGTCTGTAAAATATGGTGAATGGGTGTTGCGAACAATCCTCGGTTGTATTTCAGATTTTCCCAAGGCGGCGTGAGAATTGAAAGAGAAATGAGGAAGAGGAAGAGCGTGAAACAGTAGCATGTTCATGTTATTAATAGAGCTCTTGAACGTAGAGGGGCATCACAGCATACCCTGCATTCCTGACACTATTGTTGACCTTTCCAGAGGCTTGAGTAGCCGGACTTTATCACTAATGTCGGTCCAAATGTGCAGCTTTTACTAGCTAAGAACTGCCCAGCTAGACAGGGAAAAAAATCAACTGATCTAAAACGACCGACCACACAGCGTTTTGTTTTAAGTGGTGTTTAGAAGGTGAAGTTATCTGATTTGATTGACAGATCAGCATGGGGAAAAAATGACTTAATAATTAAGCGCACAACAGTGTCAATCTATGGCTGGCTGTACAAAAAATTATATGGAACGTCACTTGTAGAGAAAAATTACCCCATCAGTGGTAGCAGAAAAAATAGAAAAAATATTGATTGTTTTAAAGAAGAATCAAAATCACAATTTGGGGATGAAAAAAACCTAATTGCGATTTTCTGATAAAAACGGTGGTTGTGATTTAAAATGCAATTTAAAAAGCTCCAGGTTTATTGTGCCTTCTTGTAGAACTGCATAATTTGGTCAAAAATAAAATAAAATATCTAATAATAATAATAATTTTTATTACTACAACTAAATAAAAAAATTTATAAAACAAGAAATATTACTATGGTACTATTTCATTGTAAAATCAAAAATTAATTTAAGAAAATTAATAACAACAACAACAACAACAATAAATGATACAACTACTACTACTAGTAATTATAATTATAGATATAATTATTCATATATTGTTACTGAACGGAAATAAATTAACAAAATGAGAAAAATCTTACTGCTGTAATATTTCACTGTAAAATAAAAAATAATATTAAGAAAATATAATATTTACAACAGCAGCAACAAAAACAACAACAATAATAATTGTTTTTAACAGTACAACTGTAAAATGACAGTACTAATATTAATGGTGTAATATTAATATTAACTAATATTAACAGCGTCTCTGAGACACTGAAAACCAGATCACGTGCAGCTCGCGTGTAAATGAACACAGTGCAACGCTTCACTTTGAAACATAACTCTGCATATATTTAACTGAATAGCAGCCTTTATGATTGGATAATTGCACAAAATCATATAATGATTTCTGTTTTATTACAATTATTCACACAGCCCTATCTGTCACTGTTTCACAAACACCTCAATATCGTTATATTCAGACAAAAAACAAACAAACTATTTGTTGGCACTAGTGGCACAGAAATTACAAATTTTAATACCACCTGCAACTGAATTCATGATTCATGGCTGTGACAATTAAATTCTATTAGCTATTTGAAAAAAGGACACGCCCCTCAATGTAGCCAAACTTCATAAGGTGGTACCTGAGTTTAAAGTTGCGGATGCTTTTGTAAAAACATCAGGATTTCCAATCAACCTGTCTGTTAGGATCATCCATAAAAACAAATAAAAAATCACTCAGTCCCAGAGTTCTGACAGAGTGTCCCACTTCCTTCAAGCAGACGAGCTTCCCATGACAGCTGGACCCTCGGCACTATAAATATCCCCATTCTAAACCACTTATGTCACAGTTGCAGATCGGGTGGAGACGCTAGCAAACGAACACAGCCAAGTCTACTGTTTCTCAGCACTCTCACTGTATCTGTCTGCGCCGTCGCTGTCATGCTGTGGTTTCTTTCACAAGCTCGCCTGTGCCCACAATTACACTTGGCACACAAACCAATGAGAGCGACTCAGTATTTGTAGCTCAGTGTGCCAGTGTGCTGACAGAAACCAGCACAGAAACTTTATGATACCCTAAAAATGCCACATCAAATCACAGAAAGCAATTACAGTATGAGAACAGAACCACATGTGAGATAAATGTTAACATATAATTCATAACATGAGTTGTATAGCATGCTAAATGCATAGTATGCTAAATTAGGATTAGTGTCTCAAATCATAGTATGGATTTTCATAGTATGCAACCATGCATGATTTTTGGGCTTATATTGCCAATAACTCCTTGCTCAAGATAAAATTTATGATGCAATAGTGTGTCGTAAATGAATGCCAGATTACTTAGGCCAGAAATATTCTCCACATAAGTATGCATATGAAGACACAAAAGCTTAGCCAAAACATTGCAAGTGTGTGTGGTACCGTATTAAAGGGAGCGATAGCGTGTCTGTCAACTGTCATTAAACCAGCT